CGGGACTCCAGGATCATGACCTGAGCCGAAGGCAGTCGCTTAACCAACTGAGCCACCCAGGCACCCTGGGTAACTTTAAAGAAAACTCCTCTCTTGGCCTCACTTGCTGAGATTCTGAATTGGCCTGAGTTAGGACTCAGTAATCCAGGTGAGGCAGTTTGTAGCTGCGTTTAGAATCTAATCCAAGGGATCTTCTGGGGATCTTGTTAAAAATGCAGATTCCCATGAAATTGGTATGGCTAGGGCCTGATTCTGCATGCCCAGGCTCCTGGGTGGTGCCATTGTTGCTGGTCCTAGTTAGCAAAGCTCTGCATGTGGTTCCAGTGTGTAGCTGGAATCAACACCACAGATTCAATCAATTGACCCAAACTTGATCTTCCCTCCAGGGCCCAGAGTTTCTCAGTGTATTGTCAGACCATCTGCTTTTGAATTACCTGAAGATCTGTTTAAAATGCAGATTTATGGCACCTTCCTCAAAAGTGAATTGAATCCTTAAGAGCAAGTTTGAAACCTAGTTAAAAAAATTTGGGGGTGGTGGTGGTTCCCTTAGCAAGGATGGATAGGGCTAAATTCTTTACCTACGTATAAATGGATATGCCTTGAAGGTGACCCCTGTCCCCTTCCAATTGCTGGGCTGTCTGGAATTTGTACTGGTGTCCCCTTACATTGAATTGAATTTCATTGTCTGACTTCTAGGTGCCCTGGACTCTGAGAAAACTATCTTAGATTTCTCCTCTGTTAAAAACCCAGGCTTCCTGTGGTTACCTGGGGGCCACAGCAGACTGTAGGCAGCAGCCCCTTCCCTATGCTGAGGCCCCAGAGAATCCAGCTGAGCCCAGGCAGTGAGTCTACCTTAAGAAAACCCTCTAGAACCAAAGGGGCTACCCATTTCTTTGGCAATATGGCTCCTATAGAGTTTCTTTAATATAGCGATTTCCTTGGTGGTGGTTCTAAAACGGAATAAATATCAATTGATAAACAATGTTTCCTAGTAGAAGCAATTGAGAAGTGAAGGTATTTCTGAAATATGCATGCTAGTGAGAGGTCCTAGGTGACAGAGTTAGCAAAGCCCATCTCTGACCCATCTGTATGTCCAACAGGACCTTTGTGTGCAGCTCAGAGAAAAACTGCCTCCCACTCATATGTTTAGGCATGTTTACACATGGACACTGAAATATCCAACAAAGGGAAAGGCTGGGGTGATCTGGTGCACTTTGGTCACTTGACTGTCATCCAGTCCTTAAGGAAGTAGACCACAGGTGGTGATGGTGGTGGTTTCTGTTGCTTTTCAATCTTTCAATCTTTAGATTCTGGTCACTGTTTAGCATAGAGTAGTTTGTCAAATGAATGTTATGGATTTAACATGGGTGTTGGAGTCAGATAGTCCAGGTCTGCCCATTTACTAGCTGCCTTGTGCCAATGACTTCTTAGAATCTCTGTTGTCTTATTCATGGAAGGAATTTTAATGCCTGTACTGTAGGATGATTGAGAAAATTAGGCCTGGGCATAGTATGCTTCTATTCAAGGAAGCTATTCCCAGGGGCAAAGAGCCCTAAAAGGATGCCTGAGATCCTCATGTCTAATCAGGTAGATCCACACCCAGAAATTATGGGTGTCTTTGCTGAGCTCTGCAAAATATTGTTGTACCGCATTCCAGCATGGAAACTAGGGTCAGTTACCCTTATACAAACTACCTATTTTATAGGTAAGCCAATATAAGTAACCCTGAGCAGGCATGCAGAAGGAAAACCAGCTGTTGACCAGAATGTTATTGGCTATTTCTGAGTATTTCTGTTATTATGTGTTTGCGACCAGTTCATTTACTTTGCTGTTTACAAGTTTTGGGAAAACACTGTTGAGGAAAATTTAAAATAGAAATGATTTCAACATTGACTTAATTCTTTCCTTCTGCAAATTGGGAAAATACCAAAGACATCCAACTTTAGTGACAACTTTAGAAAGGTTCACAGATACTAGAAGATCAAATTTACCACTTTTCAAAGGAGGAAACGAGGTCCAAGGTCATGAAGATTGTAACCAAGATTATAGAATCTTTCTGGGTTGATTACGTGCCAGATACTTCTTTGCATGCTACACTTAGAGTAACCCATTTAGTCCTCACAAAGGAGTTACTATTACTATGCCCATTTTACAGATGAAGAAACCAAGGCACAGGGAGGTTAAGAGGCTGGTGGTGGTTGCCAGGCGTGCACACCAGGTCAATGCCTTGCAGCCTAGCAAAGTGTTTCTCAGTGCTTGGATTGCCCCACCAGCTGGGGGAGGCTCTCACCAAACGGACTGCCCAGAGCCATTTTGCCTAGCAGTTCCTGAACTAGAAGTTACTGTGCAGGGGCGCCTGGGTGGCTCAGATGGTTAAGCGTCTGCCTTCGGCTCGGGTCATGATCCCGGGGTCCTGGGATCGAGCCCCGCGTCGGGCTCCCTGCTCGGTGGGGAGCCTGCTTCTCCCTCTCCTCCTGCTCCCCCTGCTTGTGCTCTCTCACTCTCTCTGTCAAATAAATAAATAAAATCTTTAAAAAAAAAAAAGAAGTTACTGTGCAGGAGAGGGAAGGGGACCAGGACCTGCTTTGAACTTGGCGATGGCGCTGAAGAGCGCGGCGGCCCTCTCAGAGCAGGCGTCGATGAGGCTGACGGTCTCGTGGCCGCTGTGGAAAGCCGTCTTGCAGAAGGTGCAGAGCAGCTGGTTGTCGTGGCGGCAGTACTCAATGATGCGGCTGGACGGGTGGTGGATGCAGATCTTCTCATCCTGGTCCTCGGTGCTGGTGTCCACGAAGACGTGGTCCTGCATGGCCACGTCCGAGTGGAAGGTCTTGAGGCAGTCGTTACACAGGTTGAGACGGCAGGTGATGCAGCGCTTGTAGGCGATGCGCCGGTTGCGGCAGACCTGGCAGACGATGGGCCCGGAGGAGCGGTCGAAGCGCCACTTGAGGTAGCCGTGCTGCTGCATGTAGCGCTTGGTGAGGCGCCCGCGCAGGTAGTTCTCGGGCAGCTGCATCTTGTGGCTGTAGGGCATGCAGTGCGAGCGGCTGCACACGGGGCAGATGAGGATGAAGAAGTTCTCGGTGACCTCGGCGTGCTTTTGCAGCTGTCGCAGGCACTTCTCGCACAGGCTGTGGTTGCAGGGCAGCATGAACGAGTGCAGGCGCAGCCGGCTGCACATGGGGCACGAGAGATGGTCCACCAGGTTGCTGTTCGCGGGCGTCGCCTTCACCTCATCCACCTGGGTGTCGCTGCTTCCGATGCGCAGTGCGGTCTTGGAGCTGGAAGGAGAAGCGGACATGGGGAGGGCTTCAGGAGGCAGGCTTCAGAGCTCACCCCGTTTCCGGCTTCTGAAAGAACTAGGGGTTCACCGCCAGGCAGGCCAGTGTGATGGTGGGGAGCATGGGCTCCGTGCGGGGGCACCTGGGTTCTAAACCTGCCTCCGCCGTTCTTTTAGCTGGGCGACCTCGGGTCAGTTAACCTCTCTCTGCCTTTTTCCTCGCTATAAAATTAGTAGTCACATTACAGAGTTTCTTGAGGGGATTAAAATTACATTTCATACCTACAAAGCTTGAGAGCAGCCCCTGGAACACAGGAAGCAGTGGACACTGCATGTTGTGAGTTTTTGAGCAAGAGAAAGCAGAAGAGACTGGCCTGGCACCATCAGCTGGGCCTTGGTGTTGGGGTGATGTTGGCTGGGTGACGTTGCCCATCAATAATGTCACAGAATACCAACACCCCACAAAGCCCTTCTGAGACTGTGATGGAGCAAAGCAGAAATAAGACCACTTCATCCTGTTTGAATGCAGGCCAAACAAGAATATCATCCAGACCACAAAAATGACCAAACCTGGCCTCTCCTGTTTAGTGGGAGCGTACCGCTTTTTCACCAGTTGCAACGTTGGGCACCCAGTGTGCTTCCCATCTTGTAGACAAGATTTTTATCTGGTTATCCACTAGGAGATCTACCCCCACTTCCTCACCTAAAATGAGGTTAAATCCCATAATAACTTGCTGAGGCCTTCTTACCGAGACACTTCACTCTTAACCATGGTGTATGTTCTCACTTGTCGCAATGATTCAGTAAATCCAGTCTTGTCCACCTACAGGTGTGTTCTTGGTGAGTTTTGCTTGGCAGGCATTGACGTCATCATTATTTTTTGTATGTAAAATGGATGGGTAATGTGTCCTTCCGAGGACACTAGGAGTTCAGTCCCTGAGCCAAGTCTAGAACCCGAGTGCTCCAACCAGCAGACCAATAGGTAAGAGTTAAGGGTCTTAGGCTCTAGGGGCGGATTGCCCATGGTGGAGTACACCCTTTAGAGCTGCACCTTCGAAATGAGTTTCTTAACCTCTCCCATTCTCAGTTTCCTCATCTGTAATCCAAAGCTCAAAGCTCACAATCCTATGTCTTTCATGAGAATTTTACAAAGTCTACATGAGGTAATCCATGATGAAGTGCTTAACTGCTGGCACATAGTAAGGACTCAGTAAATGTGGCCACTGCAATTACTCCCCTCTGGTACTAGCCAGCTAATGTCCACAGTAGAGGACAACAATGGTCAAGTCCAGAAGTGAGTGCTTCTTCTGTTCGTGTGTGAGTGTGTATGTGTGTGTGTGCGCCTCTGTATGTGTTGATTCTTTGTCTAATAGCTGAGGCTGATTTCATATATTTAATTCTAAGAACCATGGATGAAATAGAAGCATACTTATAAAATTCAAGTGCATGTTCTAAGAGGCTATAATCTAAGAGGGCAAAAGCAGTTTCTGAAAATAAATAAGTTAGCTGTGGGGATAAAAATGGAAGCAGATACACAATAAGAGACAGGAATAGTCACAACTCTTCTGTTCACATTAGTGATATTTGGGTGTTGATCTTGGCATTGTGGATGTATTCTTTTCTGCTTCTGGCTTCTTGTAGTCCCTATATGCCCCTATCTACTTCCCCATCTCAGCCAGGGACCTATATCTTAGAGCCCAGGTAGTCAAAGGTGCTGCCCAAGAATACTGGAAGTATGAAGGGAATGGCCCTGTGGTGACAGAGGGTGCCTCTTGTGGGGACTCAGGCTCCTGGGAAGCTCATCCCTTAGGGATTTGGAAGCTGGGTCCTAGGCCTGCTGACCACAATGTTCTTGGCTCCATTCCCTCTCTGCTTTCTCAGTCTTGTGCCTGGGCCCTGCAAGGAATCACTGGACGTACAGTCAGTTGTACACGTGGTAGCTGGATGAACCTCTCTAGTTCAAGAAGGTGGGATTCTGAGGATCATGGTGTAATATAAAGGGAGACAGCGTGAGAAATCAGGAAGAAGGAGGGAGGGAGGGTGATGCTGGGGGAAGAGAGAGAGAGCAGGGAGGCAGTGATTCAGAAACCAGGAGAGAGGCCAGTTGGAAGATAAACCTCAGTGTACCCACAGCCCACCTCCTGACACTCGCAGTAGCATCTCTGACCATCCTCGGAAAGCCTCAGGCTTGGACCTGGGCATTCAGTGGCCATGGTTCCATACCCAAATAGCCACCAAACCCAGCAGCATTGCTTTCTTGCTAAGATATCGGGCCTCTCCTATTCTGCACAGCCCCCTCCTTCCAATTTAGGGCTATTCTCCCAGTGCCTGAGTTCTCACTGTGTCACATGGCAGGTCTCCCTACTTCCCTTCGGTTCCTTCCAGGCCATCTGTACTTTAGAATCACCTGGGGGGCTTTTACAATTCTGATGCCCAGGTGACACCCCAGACCAATGAAATCAGAATGTCTGGGGATGAGGACCTTTGTAAAGATCCCCAGGTGATTCTAATGTAAAGCAAAGTTTGGGAGCTACTGACCTAAGGCATCTTCCCAAGGCACCAAAGTCATCTCTCCTCTGTTGAAATGTGGTCAGTGACTCTCCATTGCTGATATGCAGAAAATGGGGCAGTTGAGTCAGGAGAGAAGAATGTGGATGTTACTTTCTGCACCTGAGAACTTCTGGGCTTTTATCCAAGACCCCTGGGTTCTCTATTCATGCAAACACCACGAGAGGTCCATGAATGGAGAGTAACCTACTAAGTGCTGAACTGCCAAGTGGATCCTATTCTTCTCCTGAATTCACTGAATCTTTGCTCACGGAATTGTTTTTCCAGCCTTGAAAAGCTTTAAACCTGCCTCTCATTTTCTGCCTCTCCAATGCTGCCATCTTGTAGTTCTGATCTTTGATCTTTTCTCATCTAAGAAGTCTGCCTTTGCTGCTTGAGACGCCCCTCAAATGTGACATAAAAGGACTGTCTCTGTCAGAACAGGAAGAGAACATGCAGTACTCGACACAGGTTAATGCCCCATGCAAGTAACTGAGACCCTAAGTTGCATGACTTCCAGATAGAAAGAGAAGGCTGCAGGAGTTGAGGGCCCTCTGGGGTACTTACATAGGACACAGGGGTCAAAAATGGCCTGTGGAAGTTGTTAACTTTTCCAATACATGTTAAGGTATCAAAAGTTCAGAGGAGGAAGAAAAGGGGCAATTTATATTTTTATATCACATAACAAGATTACAAAGCACATACATTAATCCCCATACCCGCTGAATCATGGCAGGCGTTATACTCTCCATTTTGCAGTACAGCATTTTTAAGTTAAGACACAGAGTCTGGGTTCAAAATCTGGCTGCATCTTACTAGCTAGGTGATCCTGGGCCACTGGACCTTGCAAAGGCTCAGTTTCCTCACTGGCGTGGTGGGCATGAGGTGACGGTTGCCTGGGGTCACACCCGCAGTGCCTGGCATTCAGAAACCAGGAGAGAGGCCAGTTGGAAGACAAACCCCTTACGCGCTAAGTATTAGCGCCCCCTACTGGGTGCAAGTGAGAGAGCGCCGTGCTCATTCACAGGGCTGGCGGGGAGTGGATTTCGAACTCAGGGCTAGCCGCGGTTACTGGCTGTGTGGGGCACGCTTAATTGCTACGGAATCTTTGGCCTCCTCTTCTCAGGTAGAGAAATGGCCTCGGGGTGGGGGCAGCGGGCACTTACGAGGTGCGGATGCTCCGGAGGCGGCCCTTGTGGAACGTGATGGAGGCATTGCGGCAGCAGCGGCTCTCGTAGTAGTAACACTGGAGGTTGCTGCTGGTCGTGCAGCAGCACTTGCAGTCGGGGTCATTGGCCCAGGAGCAGCAGCACCAGTGGCAGTTGGGGTTCTCGGAGCAGGTGCAGTGGCAGCATTGGCAGTTGCGCTCGTCCTTGTAAGGGCAGGGGAAGCAGGTGCAGTTCCGCTCGGAGGTGAAGAGGAACTTGCAGCACAGACAGGAGCATAATCGAGGACAACATCTCTGCCATGTACAACATGGAGAGCAAACACACATAGCAGTCTCCATGGCGCCTACATGATTGCCACCGGCTGTCCAGAGCTCTGGATCCCTTCTCTACAAGAATCTTGTGGTTTCCTAGGGAGGGGGTCCCTCCTCCCCCCCGGCCAATGAGGCCCTCAGCTTGGAGGTTGCAAGAGGTTGGCTGTTATGAGGGCTTCACAGGTGGTGTCCCTACTAGAAGCTCCTGAGCTGGCATTTACATATATCAGCCTGAGGCCATTTGCTTATGTCACAATCCCTGTCTCCCCCCCATGTCTCACCATGCTGGGTGGGTGAGATATGGGGAGTAGTGGCAAGCAGTGGGGGGCTGATGGACACTCCATGCTTCCATAGGATCGGCTTCAGAGGGGGGTTAATGCAAAGAGCATCCTGGAGGTTTAGCTGTCACTTGTCACCTTCTGGGTTATGGGGCAGATTCCAGAAGCTATTTCTCTTTGATGATGTTTTCCCTGCAGCTTGAGCTATTTGACTTCAGGGTATGTCTTCATGGGCTGAAAGGACTGGGTATGATTAATTGGAAGTGGACTGACATGATGTTCTCTCCTTGGGCCTTTTCTGCATTGATTGAACTCTCTTTGTGATGAACAAAGCACAAAGTGTTTACAAATCATGGCAATGCTACATTTAAGGGGAATCGCCATTTGGACAAAGAATTAAAGGGAAGAAAGGTAGGAGTTCACTAAGGCACATCTTTCAGTAGTCACTGAGTTTGTCCATTGCTGCATAGCCACCGCTGATTTTCATGAGGCTTCATGCATATGTCACTCTGAATATGTCTTGGCTTTTTTGTAGCTTCATGGGGTTTGGCTGAGGCTCAATCTTGGTTTTCCTACTCCCTCCCCACTCCACGCACCCCATGATCTCTTCTCAAGAGGCTGGAACTCTACATGAAAATCTTTAACTCTGCTTTTAAGTATATACTCGGTATTTCTAGAAATGACCTTATATTTTAGGGGAGAATTTTGCTTTCCACTTATGCAGCTTGCGAAGATTAAAAGAGCAGAAATTTCATGGTCATACTACCCTATGGTATAAACACTGTCTTATTATTTTTCCAAAAAGAAGCAGAAGTGAGAGCTGAATTTGGCTTTAGGAGTTTATTGCATAATTTATTATCTCTCCCTGTGATTATCACCTTTATATTAGGAAATAACATTCACTGAGTGCTAACTGTGCCAGCCACACGTTGATTTTAGATTCCTACAAATGAAAATTCTGGATCATAGGGTATGTGTTTTATTATTTTTTTTTGATAGATTACTACTAAATTGCTTACCTAAATGAATATACCAATTTATACTGACACCAACAATGTATGGGAAACGCTTTTCCCCCACATTTTCCCAAACTCAATTTTATCAATATTTCTCTCTATCCTCCAGGCACAGAGGTCTGAGTTTCACTCCTGGATTGATAGTACATTTTCGTCATTGGTCAAGGATCCTTCTTATTTTAGTTTTTTTTTTTTAATTTTAAAATTTTTATTGAGATATAATTTACTTACCATTAAAATCACCATTTTAAAGTGAACAACTCAATGGATTTTAGTATATTCAGAAGATTGTGCAACTATCACTGCTGTCTAATTCCAGAACATTTTCATCACCCCAAAAAGACACCTCGTACCCATACCCATCACTCTCTATGCCCCCTTCCCACAGCCTCTGGCAATCATCAGAGACAGATACTTTTGTATCAATGGATTTGTCCATTCTGGATATTCCATATAAACAGAATCATATAATATAGAGCTTTTTGTATCTGGCTTCTTAGCATAATGTTTTTCAAGGGGCATCCATGTTTTTTTTTTTTTCAAATTTTAGACATGTTTAAATTTATTTATTATTTTTTATTATATTATATATTATATATTATATTATAATATATATTATATTATAATATATATTATATATATTATATACCACATTTGGTTTAATCCATTGATGGACATTTGTTTCTTTGACTTTTTGGTTATTATGAATAATATTGCCATGAACATTTGTGTGCAAGTTTTTGTATGAGCATGTTTTCAGTTCTGTTGGGTATATACCTGGAAGTGGAATTGCTGGGTCATATGGTAACTCTTTGTTTAACATTTTGAGGAACTGACAAACTGTTTCCAAAACAGATGCACCATTTTACATTTTTCCATTCCCATTAGCAACATATGAGAGTTAACAATTTATGTACATCCTCACCAAAACTTATTGTTATTTTAAAATTATTATTATTATAGCCATCATAGTGGGTATGAAATGGGATCTCAAAATTACATCTGTTTACTCAACAATTCCAATTATAAGAATCTCTTCCAAAGATATACTGGCAAAAAAAAAAAGAAGAGTTTCATTCATGGTGTAATTTATTTATTACAGCACTATTTTGATAGCACAAAACTTTCTAGAAACAATCCAAATTCCCATCAATAGGGAAATGATCAGATAAACTGAAGCACATCCACACAGGTGCATCCACTTTCTAATACAGTTATATAAAAGAATGAAAAAGACCTTTGTTTACGGTTTCAAAATGATTTCCAAAATATATTATTGAGTGCAAAAAGCCAGGTGTAGAAATGTGCATGTAATATGCTGCTATTTATTTCAGGAAAGGTCTTAAGTCATTGGTTTATCTTTTCTTATGATATGGAAAAATAAACCATAAGCTTTGATTTATGAGGGAGTGTAGAAACAGGGTTGAGGGGCCTACATATCCTAATTTACAGAACTGACTTTGAAACTACTTAAATATTTTATGGGATATCTGGGTGGCTCAGTCGGTTAGGCATCCAACTCAATCTTGGCTCACTTCTTGATCTCAGGGTCGTGAGTTCAAACCCTGCATTGGGCTCCATGCTGGGTGTGAAACCTACTTAAAAAAAAAAAAAGAAACTACTTAAATATTTTACATAATTATAAAACAAAATTAAATTAAAAAGTCAAGTCCTAAAAATTAAAGCAAAATGAAGCAAGTGAATTAAGTTGGTGGCACATAGGAAGAGAAATTATTTTAAGTTAGTTTAAAGCACAATAATTTGATGATACATCCTGGGGGTGGGGGTGTTAATCTCTATGGAGAAACAAAACAAAACAAAGCAAAGAGAAATCTTAAACTCTTTCAGTAATCATATTATTAATGGTAGTGTTGGTATTGTTATTCTGGAAGGCTTAGGCATGTAAGACTTATTTGTACAATAAAGCAAATGAAGAATTATGTTGATGTCAGTGAGAATCACAGTTTTGGGCAAGGGGGAAGGGGCATGCAGATGGACAACTGCTGAAGTCAAGAAAATTTTGTAGTCCTGAATATGAAACTCATGATGTATTTTATCTGAGAAAAAAAAAAAAGAAGTATTTCTTAACTCCAGTCACTGAAAAGTCCCAGAAACCATGAGTTAACCAGTAGTAATGAGTGCCTTTGTCTCCCAGATTGTGGTCCTGAATATCACTAAAAGGAACTAAGGCTCTTTGGAGAAACGGATGATTCCAGGTCTGGGGCAGAACATGTACAAGACAAATGTGTGTTTAGAGCTACGTTTCACAAAATGTAGACAACAGTTTATTTAGCTTTGCTAGGGGACATAGGACAGGAAGGACAACCTGGCAGTGGGACAGAATCAGGTGTGATGGCTTAGGTGTGAAGAAAGGAGACCAAATGAGTGGGTGTAGTGATGCTGTGGTGCACAGCCTGGGGATCCTTGTTAAGACCGAAATAATCATTCTCCCAGTTGTATGAGTGCTGACTGCTCACAGTTCATACCTGAATCTTTCTCTGGGGATTGCTTTCAGTGGAGAGAAGCTGTCTGGTCCAAGATTATGCCCCTATTCAGGGAGAAGCCCTGCCTAAACTGGGACTTTAAAGGGCCATCCCAGCTACTGAGGAAATCTGATTGGATTGGACGAGGTTTACAGTTGTAACTATACTATAGTTTAGCTTTTTCCTCTGCACAGTCCTATCTCCCTCACCCTGCAAGAACCCTCTCCATAAACCTCCTGTGCATAAATCTCCATTTCATAGTCTGTTTCTCAGGGAACCTGGCCCAAGTGAATGAGTATAGGAGCTATTCTGGTTTATAAGCTCCATTCCCCATATGAGCCAATATGTTTTATTTCCTCCCATGGGAATAGCTTCCAGGAGTCCTAGGGACATGCCCAGTTACAAGAATGCACTGCATTCAGAGGAGCTCAAACTATGGATTCTCAGTGGGTATTTATAGTTAATTCACAGTCCTCCCAGGCCAGGTGTAGTTTACTAATTAGAAGTCATTTCTACCAGGGCGCCTGGGTGGCTCAGTTGGTTAAGCGACTGCCTTCGGCTCAGGTCATGATCCTGGAGTCCCGGGATCGAGTCCCGCATCGGGC